GACACGGGTTCGTGCCCTGGTCCGGGAAGATCCCACATGCCGTGGAGCGGCTGGGCCCATGAACAATGTCCGCTGAGGCTGTGCGTCCAGAGCCTGTGCTCCACAACGGTAGAGGCCACAACAGTGAGAGGCCCGCATACCGCAAAAAAAACCAAAAAAACCCCACTTGTATGTGAATTAGCTTCTACCCAAATCACCAATGTAATTATTTTATTAAGACTATCCTACATTACCACTGAATGAGGCAGGTGGGTGTACCATTACTGCATCTACCCTCAGCAATTGCGATTGCTTTGGAACTGGCAAAACATTACTTTTGTATATCATCCCTTTCAATTTACATTTTGCAAAAATAGAGCAACTCTTTGATATAAATATTTTTCAAAATACTAATTCTATACATTATACAAATAGTGTTCATTTAAACAAAGTTGGATTCTGCTATTGCAATTCTTGCTTCTGTTCATTTATTAAAATGTAAAATTTCTCAGATCAGCCCTAGATTAGCACTTACATTTTACTAACAGAGAAGGAAATAGTTAACATGAGGTTTAGGAAAAAGGATGCAGAATTCCTTAGTGAGAGACTATTACCTGCAGTTAACCAGTGTTTTCTTCATAAAGAGCAGAAAAACCTCCTGGCAGGTCTTGGGAGAAGCAAGGACTCACCTGATTGTGATAGTATCCAGGTATCCCTAGTTTGCAGGCCTCCAGGTTGAGAGGTTCTTTAAGGTTGTTCATAACACAGCACTGACGAGGCCAGGGGTAGTCGGCATCGTTATTCTCAGTCCGGAAGGCAGAGGTGTATTTCTGCCAGTCTGATGGTCCATTTACACCACAGCAATTGTCCTGTCAGCACATGAGAGAAACAAAATTCTCTTCCATAAGCCTTGCTAGAGCCACCAAGGTGGCAACTGAGACTTTATGGAGAAAGAAGATATGGAAATTATACCGTATCTTACGTTTACTAAAAATCCCCTAATGAGAACTGAAGGTGTTTTTAAGGTATTACATTGTAGAGTTTGCAAAATACTTTTACATTTATTACCTTACTAGCCACTAATGAGCTCTGTAGCCTTTGACGAGTTAAACTTTCTAAGCCTCATTTTCCTTAACTGAATTGGGACAAATATAGTACCTACCTCACAGAGCTGTGTGAGGAATAAATTAATCAATACATTTAACACGTTTAGCACAATGCCTGGCCCATAGTAAACCCTTAAAAAATGTTAATCATTATTAGTACTACTATCTTGATACAATAATGTGAGAGGGTTATAATTATTCTCATGTTACATATGAGCAAATTGAGAATCAGAAAATTAAAATTTTTGTGGTGAAGAAATCACGAGTAATTCTTCTTGTTTTACTTTTCTTTATTTTTAACATTTTCTGGAGCAATTATGTATTAGTTTTATAATGGGGGAAAATAAACTGGAAAAAATAACCAAAACCTAGTGGCACATGGTTATGCCTCTACATAGGAAAGGAAGATCACTTAACACATAGCTCATATTACTCTGCATAGAATTGAGGATAGGGGATAAAACACAATTCACTTCACTTTCCTTCCATTTTATAAATTCTGCTAAAATGTTTCAAGGGAAGAAATAAATACTACTGCATCTCTCAACTTTTAAGATAAATATATTCAGCAAACTTGGTGATAAAGTGACTATCTTAAAAGCATGTCCTGTTTTGCCACTGGATTATGGAAAATATCTCACCAAAGAAAATAATCATTCTGTAATTTGACCTGAGCATTTTGGGGGGAAATGGTTAAGTTTGAACCAGACTTTTTTCAGACTGGGCTTTATAAAGTTGGTAAGTGGATTTTCAAATGTGTGAGCATTCACATTTTCATTTGAAAAGCTGAGTTCTTTGCTAACATAGTGGGAAAAAAAATACTTGACTTAGAAGAGTGATAGGAAGTGAAAAAGTGGCCAATAGACTGGAGGTCCTAATGGGCTAAAAAACTATAGAACAGGAATATTAGACTAAATGAAGGAAATTTTAGAAGATAGAAGGTAAAGAGAGAGTTCAAAGAAGGGGTGAAGGCTATAAGGGGGTTTGCTGATGTTGGACTGGGAAACATAGGTGGTTGGGTGGGGAGGGGGTCGGGGGCGACCTTGGGAGAGTTGGGTCACACGAGGTCTTATGCAGGGATAAGAATTTACATACTTACGACAGTGTAGGGGTGAGAGTGGGTATTCTGAAAGACTTGTACTTTTGATGGTATTTGAGGTAAATGTGGATATAAGGTTACGATTGCCAGTTAGAGAAAAACAGGTGATCAAATCAAGTCATAGCCTCTGGTCCCTAACAGGACTAGCCCACAGGTGTGAAAAGGTACTAAACAAGCAAAACAGACAATAATTGCCACTTGAGTTCACTGTCAGGTGGAGGCAACATTTTTTTAATGTAAGTGATGCTTGAGTTCTAAGAGGCAGAGTGTGTGATTAATCTAAATTTCTTACCAATGTCATTACTCCTATAAATGGAAGCTAATCAACATCATGGCTTAAAATAAAATATAGATCTAGGGGTCCCACTGAGTCATGTGTACACCCCCTAGTCCCTGCCAATAAATGAGAGGAATAGAGGAACTTGCCTATGTCAAGTCTCTTTGTGAAGGAAGCCCCCTTGGAGGCAGTGGTTCCCACACTTTAACTTCATTCCTAACCATCCATATGCTCTTGGATACTGGGTTTAGGTACCAAATGGCATCTCCCCAGGACTGCAGGCATTACCTGGAGCATGAGCCTGTCCCAGGTCTTGGTGACTCCATTGTTTTTCCACTGGTCATCATTGTTTGGAGGACTGTTGTTTTGGTACCTCTCCAACATCTGCTTCAGGAAGAGGTTGGGTGTGAACTATTATGGGAGGAGGCAACACAAGAGGAAAAGTTAGCACAGTAATCCTCAAGGAGGCGAAGTGATTTGCTCGGCATGTTGCTGGGGTCCCTGAACATTGTCTCCTGGAGTAAAACTGAGCTCAGAGTCACGAGTAGGGCTGGCGGTGGGAGTAAGGCTGCTCTGGGTGGCGGAAGTCCCCCTTGTAGAGAGAAGACCCCCATCTCCAAAGAAATTCCAATGAGATAAGGGTAGACAGGCATTGTGGGGTGGCCTAGGCCAGGGAATGGAAAAAAGGAGAGAAAGCAGGGTGCTGGATGGGAGGATGTCTCAGATGTGGTGGATTACTGCTCATCCCAGTGGAAGGCCAGTGGCTGTGGCAGAGTAGTGAAGAGCACGGCGGTGCAAGCTCGGGCCCTGGGAATCACACGGCCTGGATTCAGGATCCCACTTTCACTTACCAGCTGTGTAACCTTGGACAAGTTACTTTATTTTTTAAGTCTCATTTTATTTTTATTTATAAAATGAATACCTATTTCATAGGGTTACTATGAGGAGAAAAATTATATATTTATTATTTATTTATTTTTTTTGCGGTACGCGGGCCTCTCACTGCTGTGGCCTCTCCCGTTTGTGGAGCACAGGCTC